CATCGATTGGCTGGCGCGTGTGCAAGGCTTGCTGCAGCGAGAAGAAGGGAGCTTACTAACAGCGGTTGCCAATTTCGCGGGGAACAAAGGCCGACAGCGTGAGTCAACAGCGGCAGGCTCCCACATCCTATACCTGTGTGCTGATTAAGTAATCCATAACTCTTTGTAGTACAAACACCGTGGGTACGCTTTATTGCGTAAGTCAAAGTGCTGAAACTTCATACAAGAAAATAACTTCCCAACATTTATTTTCTTGCTTCTTAAATTGACTGGGATACCTGTTGCCATCCTAGCTGTCGGTCACGCCGACTGCTTCCGTCAACCACCTGTTTAAAGGGCGGGACCATCAGCCAAGAATCCAACGGGCAGCCCAGTTCATCCTAGTAAATCCAAGTTTCCTGTAAACAAATAAAAGGAAACAATTTGCTTCCATATGTGATTTGGCAGCCTGGTATACGCAATGAGCATTTTGTAGAGCTGGCAATTTTAGCGCTCGCAATCTCTAATAGAAACGATTCGTGTGTAAGATAATAACTGAACAAACTCATGGACTGGGACCTAGCTCGGTCAATCTCCATTCTTCCATTTCCTCGAATGATGAAATGTGAAAGTAGGGCGTCTTCTTCAGTCTTATTTCTCTTTTCTTACCGGTTACGTTTATTAAATTGTGATTTTATACCCATAATGATCCCGACAGATGCAAAACAGATTTTTCAAGACGTGCTGGCTACTTATACATATGCTTTCACATATATGGATAGCTGGGCGATCCCGAAGTAATTATTCAGTTCTGTGAAATTTTTAAACCTGCATAATTCTGAAGGTCGTTTTTTAGAATGTGGCGGTTCACCTTGAGAGAACCGCGAATCCAGTAGGTGGTGTGTTAGTCGCGCACGCCGTACTTTGGTCTATTCTGTTGCTTCGGCTGCCTAGGTCTTGATCTTTCTCGCAGTTGTAATTGATCGCTCTCCTTATCCTTCCTTACACCGATTGTCTTATCTACTGGTGTAAATAAGGTAGAACTTTGCAGAATATCTACTATTTCCCACGATATTCGCGTCGCCCCCCATCACTTCTGTGTGGAAAAGGCTCAA